CTCAGCACGTCAGCCATGCGCGGCTGGGCCTTTCAGAAATGCCAGCCGCTCCCTTTTTTATAGGGGTATTTCATGGTGAAAGGGGTGATGTTCAACCAGAAAAAAATTGGGATTCAGCAAGCCAAAATGGTGATTTCACATGATTTAACCGCAACCACCCAAAATCAGGATGTCAATGGATAGACAACAGGTGGTTCTTGCAGATGCGGAAGGAAGGTGGAAATAAAGGGCTTGAAACTCAGGGAAGATTCGCAGATTTCACATGAAGAAAAATGCGGAAGCAAATGTTCAGCAGAAACAGGACGGAGAGTTCACCCTTTAAGCCAACTACAAAGGTTAGCTGGGGGAGACAATGAGTGGGAGAGTTTATACCCAATTCTGACAAGCTTCACCCATGCCCTTGGCAAGAACATGGAACCCTATATGCTCCGAGTGTGGAATATGACCCCATAAAATACATGAAGTTCCTCAGCCACATAGTATATTTCCCATCTGTGAAGCATACTGAATTCTCAATCCCCGTAGAAGCCAGGTTTAGCGGCACAGCAGTGCAAACATTAGCAAGTTGGCAAGCCTAGGACGGTATGACAGCAAAGAAACTCTGGTTCATGTTGTACGAGACAGCTATACGTAAAGGTCATGGCAAATCTTGCGTAAGTGGAGTCTGGATCGTATTTCTTAGGACAACGTATCCCCACCTATTTCTGGACACAATGAACCGAAAAGGTCTCTGGTCATCCATGGCTTATCCAGTTGGGGCAGCTCTGATTTTGTCGCTGATTGAATCTGCAGCTCCAATCATCATGGCTGATGGCCACCAAGAGATCATCTGGATAACACTGACGTCTCGCGGGCCTTGAGATTTGAATGAGCAGTTTGGCTCGCCGAATGTGTGCTTTAAGGCATGATGTGGAACGCTTGCCAAGTAAGGCTCTCAAAATCCATTAATTGATGATTAATTCCACATATGATGATTCTAAAACCCCATACTTTGATGCTACTAAAGCCCCATATTTTGCTGCTTAAATACCTATATAGTGATATTTATCTAAATCACCATGTTGATTGGTTGAATCACCATTTATCGCTGCGTATACGTCACTGTCTTGATGGTGAAATCATGTTATATAAATCCCCATGGCACAGAGCCCCACTTGGCGCTCGCGAACACCTTGCGCCTCACCGCACCACCGTCCTCCATATGTAGAGACTCATCGCATCGAAACGACTCGAAACGGGGGCGCGACGCGTATCGACGCGTGGCGCGAGGTGGGTATTGTGCGAGTGCTCGCAAGTTACGAAACTCGTTCACTGCGAAACTGGTAGTCATGGCGATTAATATTTAATGTAAATTGTTATTTGGATATAATATATATATATATAACCCCTGCTCGCAACAACCAGAATCATGCTACTTGGTAAGTAATGGTGGACTGATCTGGACTGGGTGGACTCAACTTTTGGACAAACCAATCGGATGCATTTTCATCCATTTTCAATGAGACTCTGTAAGCACCAAAAGATCCCAGTTCGTGACTCTTCGAGGGCAGTTCGTGCGAAGCACATGGGCCTAGTGCAACTCATTCTGACCTTGCTACTCCAGGATTAAACACAGCTCATTCCTGTAGGGCCTGCAAAAAAAAATGTCAAATCTGGGTATGAGATCATTATCCAATCCCATCTACTGCGTATGTATAATTATCCCTTCTCCCTAATACTAAACCCCCCCCACCCTCCCCTAATAATAAACACCTCAGGTAATTTTTATTATCACGGGGGTATTTATTATTAGGGAACCTTATTAAATCAATGAAATTTCCTTATATAACGCAATTAAACTATTGCCAAAAATTGGATTTCGAAGCGGACCCCATTAATAAATTTAAACCATTAATAATAAAAACTATTTTTCCGATTTCAAAATCAATTAAATTTCCTTATATAACGCAAGTAAAATATGCCAAAAATTGGATTTCGAAGCGGACCCCATTAATAAATTTAAACCACTAATAATAAAAACTCATTTGTTCGATTTCAAAATCAATTAAATTTTTTTATATAATGCAATTAAAATATTGCCAAAAATTGGATTTCGAAGCGAACCCTATTAATAAATTTCAGACCTTAATAATAAAAACTAGTTTGTTCGATTTCAAAATCAATTAAATTTCCTTATATAACGCAATTAAAAGAATAAAGAACTTTAAAAAAAATGGACAGACCCTATAAACACCCCGGGGTGAACGAGTTTATTATTAGGGGGCAAAAACCCACAAATGGTATCTTTATCGTTAAATTGTTTTCCAAAGGGGATCAATAAAAAATCAAATTGGCCAATTTGAAATTTTCTGAAATTAGAGATGGACCCTAGTCTTTAGTATTAGGACGGGGTTTAGTAATAGGGAGAAGGGATTATAATATATGTATATATATATATATAGGTGACACATATTAATATGTATATACATATATATAATACCATATGTATATATATATTATACATTATATTTTATATACATATATATATACACATAATTTGAATATATACGTGTAAATATATATATATATACATATTATGTATCAATAAATATATATATATATATATACATACTATGTATAAATCAATAAATAAATATATATATATATATATGTATGTATATGTATACATAATATATACATATATATACACATATTATATACATAATACATATAATTACATATATATATATTTATATATATATATGGACCTCTCATTCACCTTAACCTGTACCAGCTCAAATCACCTATCATTGCGTGTGTTTAGTTTTTTCGCGATGGCACTCGCGAGCTCTCCTTTAAAATATGACACATCACAAGCGCTCAGCTTCGTCGCTTCCGACCTGATCATCGAACAGCTGAAACCGCCATACTAAGTCACTGAGTCCAGCTCCGCTCTCCGTCGGCATCCAAAAACCAGCCATAACATCCCATACAAGTGGCTATGCCATCCCGTACTTTCCGGTCCATCCTACTTTAACTTAGTAATGAAATATTCTATTAGTTATAACTATTGGTTTACAAGTGGACAATCTGTAGACTAAGGGTCCATAGCCCATCTATAAGCTTCTTATTGCAAGCTATTTGCAAAGTGGGATGAACCATCTTTGGAGTGGTTGCATCCTGGATTCCCCGACCTGAAAGACGTGCAACCCCTGGGAAATCCTGGAGACCTGGGATGAAGTCATAGCGTTATCGGGGCGCCGATGGACTCAATGGACGCTTCGGCAACATCGGCAAGGCTGACTTGGCAGCTTCAAGACTGGTTGCCGCAGGCAAATGTCCCTCCTTGTGTCCTGGATGTTTCACATGGTGATGTCGAGCCATCCCAGAAATAGCCTAATGCTGGTGAAATGGGATAGTCATTCATGGAAATGAACACAAAATCGAGAGAAATCACCAGGAAGTTGGGTAATTTGCAAGGCACAAAATAGGATTAACCAAGCAGCCAGCGTTTTTCTGTCGGCTCCTCCCTGATGTTGACCTACTTTACGTGGCCTTTCTAGACGAGGTGACAAATGGAGGGATTGTACCCACCCCAAGTTGAAACATGAGGTACGAGCCCTGGCAGTTGATATTCATGGGGTTACACCCAAATGATTTCCCCCGGCATCGCCAGATGGCCCAAACATGGATGGGCTCCAAATTTGGAAATTCTGAGTATCCCTGACAATCCAAGTAGAATTTCACTGAGAAAGATCGTGTTCCCTTAAGTATCGGAATTTGATGTACTTACCAACTTTTAACCTCCGAAAAACAAACAGCTACTTTCTGAGAAAAGTGAATAGAAACGTGCCATCTTTTGATCCTCGTCAAGCATCCGTTTCCGCCTCCAAAAGGGTAGGACACAAATCATTCAGGACGGACGCTTGCCTTTCAAGGCGCGACTCAGTGCCTGCCTGTTGACCTTGCTTCAGTGCGGGAGATGCACCTAATTCTATTTATTGGAATTGGAAGGCAAGACTAACAAGGTGGTGCCCCGCAAGGCTGAAATCTTTGTTGCTTTACAATCTTTACAACTTCACGATCGTGCGATTTCGAAAACAGCGACAGCGAAGGAACTGGGGCACCACCTTAAATGGTTGAAGCCCCCAATCGGAATCATCTCCGTTCTATCTCCTACTCTTCCGTCAGAGCGAAGCGGTTCCAGTTGGTGTCCCCGACTGTGGATGGCCCTTGGGCCCAAGCAACACCCACTCCGCGGGCGTGGCTCTGCGGGTCGCACATATCTAGGAAAGTCCCAGCTCAATCCCAGGGTCCAAGAAAAGCAGTTGTTCGTTCACCCTGTGCATGGGATGTCTCTAGTTGTGACCTGCCAATTCCTGAGGACGCACATCCAAGATATCGAAGAAGTCAATTTCCAATTGATTACAACATACCACAATCTCATTCGTCGCCCAAGCAAAGCCAATAATCTCCGGTTCAGAATGTGATCTCATCTCAGTATAGATTAATGGTATACATATGGTATACAGACTGTAATGAAAGAACTACAGTCTAACCATGTTGCAGTACTGACTGTAAAACAACTATACGTACTTACTATATATGTGTACTTAAAACATCTAAAAACACCTTTACTTTGAACACTTCGGATCCAACACTCGTCCAGATCCCGCAAAATTCATTGAGCTTCTGCTGGAACTTTCCCTTCCCAGCTCAATCTCATCTTGCTCCAGCAACTGCGCGCTAAGAGAGCCAAGGTATGCTATAGCTGGGTAGGTTGGTGTTTGAGTCAGCCATCCATCGTTGAAGTCGTGCAGTTGGTTGGGTGTGGCTAGCTGGGAAGCCCCCTTGCCATGTGGCGTTGGGGTCATGGAAATTGCAAGTTAGATGCAATTTTGGGGTCTTAAATCAGATCTCAAGGGTGCAATGACACAATACACTCTCAAAAACACTTAGAACATGAAAGGACAGTTGTTACATGGGTCTCCCATCGCTATCATATTTTAAGGGTTGATCTG